CCATGATTATTAGTGTCTCTGTGTGGTGATGAAGAAACAGAGATAGGAGACAGACAGATCTTGCATCTCTTCTCTCAGAAGAGTAGAAAGAAAAAGCATCCCACATGCATCAGCATGTAAAGAAACCACCTGGAAAGTTTTGTTGTGGGAACCATCATGCTTAGAGTCATTTAGGCACAGATAAAACTCATGCAGAGATAACACAGGTGAAACAGTTTCACAGACAACTGATGTGAATCCTTTGACGGAGGAATTTCAAGAGGCGGGTCTAAGAGTTCTTCCACAAAATGTTCCCTTGTGCTGGTTTCACCCATGTGGCTCTATGTCCTTCAGCTAGGGTGAAGGCAAATACTTGAGATGCTGTGCCTATGTGGATCCTGCTCAATTACAGTACAATTCTACACAGGTCTGCTCAGTAATTTGCCCTTTGAGTTCAATTGGGCTTACTCCCTGGTAAGTGGGCACAGGATTAGAGCAGAAGTCGAAAGAGGTGCATGCTTTTAGGTTGCACGGCCCCATCCAGAACCAAAGCACTGTCAGATATGGCTGAAGTACGTAAGCTTGAAGCGCAGCCACAGTTTAGAACTTCCAAGTCACATTTATTTAAATAGAAGAATTCAGTGCATGCTTATTTGTATCTCTCCCATTGAAACCAATGGGGGCAACAGTGCTTAATGTTGGTTAGATATTAGGCCATGTGCTCTGAGGATGATCAGTGAGTGCAGAAATTGTGGTGGTGTTTTTGCACTATTCTAGTTAACTGGTATTCATGCTTTAGAATGCCACATTGAAGTGCTCAGCCCAACAGGGCTAAAAACAGATTCTTTCTGAAACCTGAAATAGCTCCATTCTACAACCCGTATTCCAAAACCACAAAGACTCTTGTGGCACCAGATTTACTGTAGCATAAGCTTTCATGGACGAGTGACCATGCTATTTAGTCCGTGAAAGATTATGCAACCCAAGACCCTTATCGGTAATGTTTATACATGGTGCATTTGTGATATTTTTATGAACGTTTTGTATATTTATAATAAAAAACAAGCTTATGATACAATAAATCTGCTACTCTTTAAGGTGCCTACAAGACTTGTTTTGCAGCAACAGACTGGAAGTTAAAACATTCTGGAAGTTGTTACTATGGCCCACGTCTCCCCAAAACACAGCAGTTCATCCTTCTTTACATTTCAGCACCCTGAAACCCACTAGCAGACATTAATTTTGAGTACATTCCTGCACTCAAGAATCTCTAACACCACCATGACACGAAATAACAATATTGTACACAGTTAAGCTTAGCTGAGAAACTACGCCAAGTAGAAATTTGTAGTTATAAACTACCACTTTAGGTACAAGAAGAAATAACTTTTCTGTTACTGCACAATACTGGCTGGGGAAAGTCCATATTAAAGTTCATATTTTTAAAATTAGAGAACAGGAACAGAAGTTTTCCCTTTAACATGTGTGGAAAATTAATTTTTGCCACTTCTGCCAGGCAGGTACTGACAGTTTATTAGTCTGCATAATCTGTGAGACCAGATTTGTCATATCCTGTTTGTGTGGAAGCGATAAACAAAAGTTTGAAAACAGGACTACTTTTCAGGGAGCCAGAACTGATCACAGCTCTCTATCGCATATGTAAGGTAAAGGGACCCCTGACTGTTAAGTCCAGTCGCGGACGACTCTGGGATTGCAGCGCTCATCTCACTTTACTGGCCAAGGGAGCTGGCGTTTGCCCGCAGACAGCTTCCAGGTCATGTGGCCAGCATGACTAGGCTGCTTCTGGCAAACCAGAGCAGCACACGGAAATGCCGTTTACCTTCCCGCCAGAGCGGTACCTATTTATCTACTTGCACTTTGATGTGCTTTCAAACTGCTATTAAGAATTTTTGTAGGCTCTGCATCATCCTTTTTAAAATCACTAAAATTTGCTCATTACTGTACCTTGAAGCCGTGCTTTTTTCCACGGGGCACTCAAGAGTACACAGTATCAGCACCTCTTTTTGTTGTTGTTAAAAAGTGTGGCACTTACTGTAACAACTTCATGGTGGGTACTGGCACCTATTTTTCAAGGAAAAAGCACTGCCCAGAAGTACATCCAGGATTTCCCTTGCTTCCAGATTAGGATACGTTCCCATCTCACAACTTGGACTAGAACCCAAAGTCCAAGCTTTTTTAAGGGCGATTTGAATTTCATAGGCATTGCACAACCTACTTAGAAGCAAATTGCTCCCACTTTCCATCCATACACAAATCTACAAAGAGCAAATGAGCTCGAAGGCATATCCAGTGTCAGGTGTGAAAACGCTCTTACCTCTCCAAACCAAATCTCATTTATGCACTTTCCTGTTTGGCCTGCTCAGGTTTGTTGATTCCAAGTCAGATGGTGTATTTTAGCATTTTCAACATTCATGGCATACGCAGATCCCTGCAAACTATGTACAGAGAATAGTTTAGTGGTGACATATGCATCTAAAGCTTTCCACACACATATGCCACATCCCAGCAAAGCAAATCAGAAATTAGATCAGCAGAGATTTGGGCTCATTTGCCCTAGACCCACCCACCCTCCGTTGCTCTCCTCTCTCCCTTGGGGTCCATTATTGATTTTGCAGGGACAGGCTTCAGCCTTGAGAAAAAGTGGTTTCCTCAAGCCACCAACCTGACACAGCTCCTATAAAATCCTTGCTGTTTAGCATGTTTGGGCTTCAAGGGTAGAACTAATCAATCAAGAGTATCAGAGAGGACTCAAAGCCTAAAATATGGAGAGTGCAATAATTAAAACTAGCCAACCAAGAGGCAATGAAAAGGGAAGAGAGCAAAGGCGGGTGGGCCGAGGCCAGCAAGCCCAAATCTCTGTTGATCTAATTTTTCTTCTGCTGCCTAGGAATGCAAGCTGGCTCCCCCACAAGCTCTGGCCTGTTTCTGTTACTGCCTGAGAAATCCTGGTTTATACATTAACACCAGCTCCTTCTGGGCCCTTCTCTGTTGATCACATGCCTGACCTTATTAAGCAAGGCATTTCCAGTACTTAATTCATAAAATGAAACGTTCTGGGGCTAAAGTCTGTTTGGAAGTCCTAGCCTCTGACTTGGAAAGTCTTTCTCTCAATCCAAGCTTATGTGGGTGCTGATTCTGAATACCAATCACTGGGTAGGCAAAGAATCTCAGGCTGTGCTGAGAGCCATACCTTTCTATTATTTCATAACTTCCAAGGCTCAGGCCTGGCATAAAGTACAAGTTCTGGGACTACCCTGTCAGCACACAACATCTTTGCTCAGAGACCTGCACTGGTTGCTATTTTGCTACTGGGCCAAGATGATGATGATGATGACTGATTAAATTTATATAGCAACCTTCACCTGAAGATCTCAGGATGGTTCATAGCATAAAATACAGAATCAAGCCACAAAGAACATAATGCTTATACACCTCCAGCTCTCTACCACCTCCCATCCCAAGGCATTCTGCTTCACTGTGGAACAGCCCTGCTACATGTAGTATCTAGATCCTCCTGCTATTGAACCAAAACCCATTTCCCTGCAATTTCCACTTATTTAGTCTGCTCCATCTTCTGCCTCACAAACTTTCAGATAATTCAAACCCGCAATAAAGTCTCTCCTTAATCTTCAATTAATCTTAATGTTCTGCCTTGGTCAGACCACACCTGGAATACTGTGTCCAGTTCTGGGAACCACAATTTAAGAAGGATATTGACAAGTTGTAATGTGTGCAGAGGAGGATAATCAAGATAATCAAGGGTCTGGAAACCAAGGTGGAATCTACACACATATAATAAAACGCTGTGAAAATGCTTAAAAAAAAAACCTTTTGAAAAATATATATTGAATTTGCTATAGCTCTCCATCGCCATCTAGTGCCACATGCATATATTGCACTTCATGACACACTTAAAATGTTTTATTTACAGCTGTATAGCCAAGTCCTCAAGCCTTATGAGAAAACAATGACTAAAGAAGTTCCAGGCAATGCTTTGCCTGGAAAAGAGAAGACTTGAAAGGAGATATGATAGCAATAGCCATCTTCCGATATCTTCAAATATCAAAAGAACTCCAGGTAATGCAATTTAAAATATAGTGTCCTGATCAAGGGAAATCATGTCCTGCTCTATTCTGCCTTAGTCAGACCACATCTGGAATACTGGGTCCAGCTCTCAGCACCAGAGTTTAAGAAGGATATTGACAAGCTGGGATGTGTGCAGAGATTTAGCTTGGCTAGGAGGAGATGGAGAGATGTGATAGCCATCTTCAAATATCTAAAGGGCTGTCACATGGAAAGGTGGTGCAAGCTTGTTTTCTCCTGCTCCAGAGGATAAGACTCACAGCTGCAAGAAAGGAGAGTCCAACTAAACATCAGGAAGCACTTTCTGACAGTAAGAGCTGTTTGACAGCGGAAAGGACTCCCTCACAAGGTGGTGGACCTGGGGTACAAACTTCAATAAAACATTTGGGGGGGGGAGCAGGTAAGCCCCGCCCTACATAATCAATCAGAAGATGTGTTGTACACACGCCATTTGAATAGCAACGCCCATTAATTTTTGGTGGCTCAAATATATTTACAAATATTCCTATGTGGTGGTGGACTCTCCTTCCTTGGAAGTTTTTAAGCAGAGGTTGGATGGCCACCCGTCATGGCTGCTTTAGTTGAGATTCCTGCATTGCAGGGGGTTGGACTAGATGACCCTCGGGGGTCCCTTCCAGCGCCACAATTCTGTGATTCCACAACTAAACATACCCACACTCTTTCCCCACGATATCAAATCCAATTCAGGACCGTCCCAGGGCTTTAGGGAACGGGCAACCTGTACGTTGTATGAAAGCCAAAATCCGCGAAGGCACGTCCAGACCCTAATGAAGGGGGGAGCCGCCTTCGCGAGTTACTACCTCGCCCTTTTCTCCCTCCGCTGCGTCGTCTGAATGAGACGTTCCCGCCTCTGCGAAGGCATCGGCCCAGTGCACATGCGCAGTGCGACCGCCCGGGCAGCTTTTGCAAACACCTGGCAGTCGGCAGCTGTAACAGCGACTCCTTTTCCCGCTCAGTTTCCCTCCTGACGGAGTTTGCCACATCAACCGCTCCGCGGCCAGTTTGTGCGTGATTTCGCGCAGCGGCCGGGGCAGCCAGCTGGCCGGCGAGAGCCAGGCAGGCTGCAGGCAGGAGTCGCCGCGCTGCAGGACACCGAGGCCGAGGGACTGGGGGAGAAAAACAAGGCCATAAACTCTATATGGGAGGGAGGAAATTCCCCGCCTGAGCGAGATTCCAGCCCCCTGGAAAAAAGTAAAATAAAAAAGCCTCGTGCCAGAGAGAAAGAGAGAAAAGAGCGCGGATTAAAGAAAGAATGCGGGTGGGTTCCCTACGCGTTGGATGATGAAAGAATCGAGAGGGTGGGGGACGTTGCTGTGAGGTCTGCGGCCGTCGTTGGGGGGCCAGACCTCCAGAGCTCAGCCATGTCCCGGATCCCGAGTGCAATACCAGAATCCTGAGGGAAATAAAAGTTTAAAAAGAGCACTTTTCACCACTGCCATGGTCCACGCATGTGGATTAGGAAGGGTACCTCTGCCAGGTCAGTGGACATGGCCCTCCTCAGAAGTTAGCTTCTTTCCTTATACAGTGGTACCTCGGGTTACATACGCTTCAGGTTACAGACTCCGCTAACCCCAAAATATTACCTCAGGTTAAGAACTTTGCTTCAAGATGAGAACAGAAATCGTGTAGCGGCGGCACAGCGGCAGCAGGAGGCCCCATTCGCTAAAGTGGTACCTCAGGTTAAGAACAGTTTCAGGTTAAGAACGGACCTCCAGAACAAATTAAGTTCTTAACTCGAGGTACCACTGTATACTTTCCTTCATTATGCACCTTGAGGTGCCAGGCAAAAACGCTCTTCTTCAACCAGGCCTTTGCCTGATAGACATCCAATGTGTTGGGGAGCAGGGTTATTAAGTTGTTTTTGTTTTATTTTTATTATGTATTTCGTGTTTATATATTGTGATTTAATGTAACCGTCCCGAGACCTGCAGGTAAAGGGAGGTATACTAGTACTACTACTAATAGAACCCTCCTGCCCTCAGCTTGGTGATCCAAACCGCAAACACTTCTTCCTGGCGCTGACATATATTATGCAACATAAACATCACCTTTCTCCAGAATTCATCCACAGGTAGGGCTAATCCATTACTTTTGGAAATGTGCATTTCTGAGCAGATGTGTGAAAAGTGGAACGCAGGAGCAGGGAATCTTTGGCCCTCCAGATGTTGCTGAACTACGACTCCCTCCAACTACAGCTTCCATCAGCCCTAGCAAGCACAGCCAATAGCCTGGGATGATAGGAAATGTAGTTTGGCAACGTCTGGAGGGCCAAAGGTTCCCCACAGCTGGTGTAGCGTTGAGTCTGCAGCTGTCCAAGAATGAGACGTTTTGTAGTGCCTTTTCATAAACGGAAGGGCAATGCCATACTGTGCTGGCATAATGTCCTGAGTAGGTTGGCAGCACCACATTACACATTGTGACAATGTACTGACATAGCATTCCCTACTCTTGACCTCCCATGATCACCATCCCAGTCAACATGACCAATGGTCAAGGAGGATAATAATAATAATTTATACCCCGCCCATCTGGCTGGGTTTCCCCAGCCACTCTGGGTGGCTTCCAACAAAATATTAAAATACAGTGGTCTGTTAAACATTAAAAGCTTCCCTAAACAGAGCTGCCTTCAGATGTCTTCTAAAAGTCTGGTAGTTCTTATCTTTGACATCTGGTGGGAGGGCATTCCACAGGGCGGGTGCCACTACCGAGTAGGCCCTCTGCCTGGTTCCCTGTAACTTGCCTTCTCACAGTGAGGGAACCACCAGAAGGCCCTTGGAGCTGGACCTCAGTGTCTGGGGAGAAGGATGGGGGTGGAGATACTCCGTCGGGTATACTGGACCAAGGCTGTTTAAAGCTTTAAAGGTCAGCACCAACACTTTGAATTGTGCTCGGAAACGTACTGTAGCCCCAAAACACCTTGGATGACCACAGTTTAGCTTTCCCAGGGTTGCTAAACAATTGTTTCTGGTGTGACCTTGATCTTTAGAGCACATTCCTTTACATGTTTTTACTCAGTTGTAAGTCTCACTACTGAGTAGCCAGCACAATAGGACATGACCACCCCTAGCAAGTGCACTCAGAATTGCAGCCTCAAGGAGCTTCCTGACATACTGGGGACACAGTACGGAGAAGCTTCCCCCAATACTTAATCTACTATCAATGCCAGGAAGTCTGCTCCATGTTAAATGTTAAAGGCACAAGAGCGCTGACTGGAAAACAAGCCACTAGCCCTCTGTGTCTGAGTTTTAAAATTGTTTTAAGGACTTGAATTCCTTGGGAAGTAAAAAAAAAAAGAGAGGGAGAGACGGCAATGGATGCAACTTGTCCTGAAGGGCAGCTGGCCCACCAGATGCAGCAGCAGCAGAGGGGTGGGGTTCTGGGACACACTCTGTGCAAGATGACAGCCAGGTCTAGCAGACCAGGCCAGTGCCCTCTATGAACCAAATCAGCACCCTACAACATAAGCCTGAAATCCTGCCATGCACCAAAATTATGTGGCAGGTGCACAGAGGCTACTCAGCTCAGCAACCTATGTGGAAGACGTTCATGAAAAGAGAAACTTTGCAAACCACAGCTCTCTGTAGGTTTCTCTCTTTGTCTCTCTGTACTTCAGTCCCTCCACCCCTTTGGATCATCTTAAATGTAAGCATTGGCTAGAGTACTTGCCAACCCATGTGTATAATTTTTGTTGGAAAAACACCTGCATTTGAGGAATTAAGGTTGGCTGGCTTTGTTTACATTTTAGAGAACTGCCTTCAGGACAAGCTGCAATTTTCCAGCCCTGGCAGAATGCACAGAAAAGGGAGGAGGTAGTACGTAGTTGAAAGAAGGAAGTGTTCCTGTCCAAGGCCTGGTAGAAAGTGTGCTGTTGCTTTATTTGATGTGACCCTTATCACACCATTAAGCGAGTAAATGGTCCCAGCTGAGTTTGGCCAATCGGAAATCATTTGCAGGCCTGTTCTGTGTTTGTTATTTTGTGTCTGCATGCAACAGATTTCCAAAGAAAAAGAGGGGCAAGGGCCTTAGACGGAAGTTTTGGGGAGGGTGGAGTACAGAGAACAATGTGTGGGTTCATCCAAAAAGGATTGCCAACTCTCTTGCAACACTGGAATAGCATATCCTTTGCATATAAGCACATTTACACCAAATTGAATGGACTTGCCATTGGCAGGAGCTCTGTTTTTTGTGTCAAGAAATTATAGGCCTTTCCCCTCTGCCAGAGATTGGGGGCGGGGGGGGGGGGGGGAGAAGCAGCGACTTCTTGAACTGTAATAGGACTGGCTAGCCTCTTTCATAGAGATATATGAAAGCCAGTATGGTGTTTATACAGTATTGAACCCATGACCTCAAACTGAGGTAACAACAGATTTAAATTGCTTCCCAGCCACAGAGTCTACCCAGTAACCTTGGGCTGCATATTCTTGCGACATAACCTACTTTACAGGATTATTGTGATGTGCATTGCTCTTAGCTCTTTGGGGGAAGAGTGTTATCAACCATAAATAATAATGGAAGAGTGGGGTAGAACTTTTGAGAGGGAAGGCAGGTGTATTCAATATTACTTCCTGTGCATTATTCTAAGCAAACGTACTTCTAAGCAAACGTGTAGGCTCCAGCTACCTGAGCTTCCTCTGTAAAACTGTTAGCCGAGAACATTCCCTCTCATTGCCTGACGAGCGGAACGACAAACTAAAGCTCTTACTGCTGCCTCTTTCCTTTTGTAGATAATCCCTCTAGCACTACACCTCCCAGAGGCCTTTGGGCATTTTGGCTCTAAGCCCCCTTTGGCAAGCAGGTGATGGCACATGCTTGTCTTCTAAGCCTCGTTCTAGAGAGTACAAGAGTTTGTGTGCCGCAACACAGAGTTGTTTATTATTTCCAAGTGAGAATTGAGCCTCCAGGCCAGGTGACACAGCTCCAAAGCATTTCCCGGCTGCCACTGCTCATGGCAAGGGCTGTCCAGTGCCAACAATGCAATGGAATTTGGAAGGCACTGGCCAGCCCACAGTAGCTGGAGCTTATGGGCAGATTTAAAATTTGTATGTTTTTATTCTTTGATGGAGGGAATATCTAGAATGAAGTGAAGAGGTTGTGGTTTGCTCTCAGGGTTCCTGTTGGGTAAATGGGATTGTCAGTTTTGTTTCCTGACATGACTTCTTTGCACTTATCAGCTGTGAACAAAGCTTTTACTGGTGTTGAGAAGAAATGGGGTGGAGGAAAGTCCCCCTGCAAAAAAATTCAGCATGGCTGGTGTACAAGAAGAGCTCTGTCTCGGGCGGCAAAAAGTGTGCAAAATATATATCCTGCAATTTTTTGCATAAGTGTTCTGAGGGCGACTAGCAAGAAGATAAATGGCAACAATCAAAATAAACCAAGCAGCCAGACAACAAATAAAGCATAATACAGCTATAAAAAGATTACACAGTCAGAATGGCAAACAATATATTTTTAAAGCCAGCACTCCTATAGAGATTTGTAGCTTAGGGTGGGCCTTCTTTATCCAACTTCACAGAATGTTTCTTGTGTACAATACTCAGGTGTGGACTTCTCTGTACCCAAGAACTTTGTTTTCTCTTTACTTCTCCCTACCCCTTTCCCCAATACTCCCTTCTGTTTCCCAGTTCAATGAGTCCTAACTTAACAGTGCAATGTTAACTCTGTGTACTAAGAGACAACTCTCACTTAATCCAATAGGACTTCGTGCTCAGATAAGTACTGTACACTTAACTTCAAGGTAAGGGCTACCCACTCAGTGGGACTTGCCTGTTGGTAATCATGGTCAGGACTGGGCTGAATGTTTATTTCCAGCGTAAGTTATCCAGTGCTATAATACTTGTGCAGCAGCTCACTTTGCTTTAAGTCATTTCTTTTAAGAATTGGTGGAATCCACATATGCCTTATGTGCTGCTTCAGGATCTGATTTGTTAAAATCTCTTCATGAGCACATCACACAAAGAGAGTTCCCATAATACAGTTCCCAAATATCTCCCTTGGCAGGACGCCTGCAGGACTCACACACAGCCCTCATGGACATCACAGCAGTGAACTTCAGTGGCTAACTTAACTCCATAAACCCATCAGGCTCCCTGCCCCTCCATCCCTTACAGTCTCATTCTCTGACCAGCTGAAGCCAGATCCTATTTAGGGCAAAGTAAAAGTTTGATTCAGCATCCAGGATGAGGCAGATTTAGAAAAGGAAGGACACAGGAAGGAGCTGCTGACCAGCTAGCCATTCCAGAACTTGGGGCAGTGGCTCTCTGTCTAGCAGCAGGTGCAATGTCCCTAATGGCATCAGCTGTAAGGTAGGAGCAGCTCCTGCACTGCCTTTGCTCACATGAGCTTGCCCAGATGTTGGGTCTGCATTAGAGGTCTCTCTCTGAGCGACTGCACCTATTCAAGTTAGATGGGTTGCAACCAAAGAGAGGACATTTTCAGCATTGTGCTGTCCTGAATAAGGAATGGTTTTTTTTCCACCCAGCATCAAAATTGCTATGTTCTGGCACAAAGCAAAGACATTTTGTGTGCTCAGATTTTCCAGGATGTCATCTAACTGGTTTTGTAATTTGGATATTTTTACTGTTCTCTAAGGTGGTTTTTCTTTTTTAAAAAAAATATCTCTGAATTGTTTTTAATGCTCTGCTTTGGCATTTTATTATTGCTGTTTGGGTTTTGTTTTATCTTTCTCTGAGCTTCTCTGAGAATATTGAAACTGTTTGAATTGAAACTGAGGTGGCATGCAGACATTTAAATCTGTAAATAACATGCCTCAATTTACTTAGGGTTTTTAAAGAGGCTAAGGACAGAGGTATTTCAAAAGGTTTTAAAAGTCATTCTACCATAGGCAATTGTTGTATTATTTGATTGGAATTCTGAACACCTCTGGTGGGCAAAAAGTCAGGATGTAAATAGGGCTATTAGTTGATCAAAGAAATTTTAGTTGAAATTGTATTAGCTTTAATATCAAATCATAATAAATTTGTGTAGGAATACAGCAAACCAGAAGAAATAAATATTATTCATTTAATTGTGAGCTATTGAGGCAGGTATGGTTCCCTCCCCAGCCACCCAGCCACTCATGTGAGAGAAGGGATATTGTCTTTTCTAAGATGGTGTCTACAGTCTGCAATTTTTTATAAGTATTTATATTAAAATAGTTTGAATTTTAACTGGGGATGTCTTTTTAGTTAATCCAAAGAGCTTAAACAATTAATTTACATAACTGAGCATTGCAAACTGCATATAAATAAAACATTTTTTCCATTTCCCTTTGGATATTCTGAAGACAATGTTTTTGTCTTGTTCCAAAGCCTGAAAAAGATGTAGGGTGGCTTGCTGTGGAGAGCAAGAGAGAGTGACTCAAACCAGATCCAAAGTAAAGATACTGCCCCAATCTGACCTTAAGCCACTTTCTAAAATATTGTCATTGACAGATCTTATATAAATAGAAAATAATAGATAACTGCATTTCAAAGGTCAAGAGTTTTGCTCTAAATGGGCAGTTTAGATGGTTACTTTGAAGTCAGTGAGCATTATTGCAGCACGTGAAGTCTTGCAGTGTTATTCACCTTCCACTTAGACATTCATTGGTAGATAGCTGACATGCAGTGATGTTATGCAGCCCATAGTTCAGAGCTCCAGCAGTGAGGTTTCCTGAGGTCTGTACTCCCCTCTCTTGGTTTGTGGAGGGTGTGTGTGTGCTGATAGCGCCATGTTCCATATTGGATCCCGGGACAGATAACTTTGGATGCTGAAGCCATAACTTGAGAATGGTCAGCAGGGAAATCAGGAATGTGGTGTCTTGCAAATACTGATTTCAGTCATTGTGCCTAAGCAGTCTCTATGCACATTTTAACATCTCACTCTGCCTGGAGAAATAATCATTGGCAAGGAGGACCAAATTTCCATTTCAGAATAACAAATTCATTACTCCTCCCTGCCAAAATCTGGCAGGTAGTTCTGTAGGGAATAACTGCTGTAAGTGTTTTTTCTCCTTGCCCTTGTTATATACTTCACACCTCTTTATACAGGAGTGGTAGCATGTGTTTGCTCACTTGCAGCCATAATTGCTGTTGTTTGAGTTTGTAATTAGCACTTGTTTATGACCTTGTATCCCTTGGGATCAAAACCCCCACTATCTTTCTGTAAGCAGTTTATAGCAACAGCAACCTTAGGTAGTAGGTAAGTTTCTTTCCTCCTCAAATTTGCTATAGTTACACTTTTCCATATGCGTTTCTAATGTGTTGAATGTTATGGAGGTAGGGACAGCTGTGCGGTATAGGCCTGGAGAACCCTTTTTTCTTTTTCTGCTGCTGCTTGCATGTGTTTGCATTCTGTCGCTCTGAATTTCACTTCACACCAGGGGCCAGGGCAGTTAGGCGATTAGGGTGAATGGGGCACTGCCCCACCAACCACTTGGCCTTTCCTCATTTCTTACAACCAGCTGCCTGCTAACTTCCTCCTTCTCCTTAGTTTCAGGGTTGCCTTTGTAGATTCAGTGGGAAGGAGGAAGGGGCGAAACAAAAATCTCATCCACACTATAAAATATATCACTTTCCCCAAAGAATCCTCAGAATTGTAGTTCATTTGGGGTTGCTGGGAATTGTAGTTTTATGGTGCATTAACTATAGTTCCCAGGATTATTTGGGAGGAAGCATATGCTTTAAATGTATCTTAGATGTACGGGGGCAACTAATCTGTCCCATCAGTGGGAGCCCTGTGCAAGGTCCTCTGCTGGTGAAGTGGGGCTTTGCCCCACTGTCCTCTACCTGCGCCTCCCCCAAATCCATGCTGGAGGGTTGGGAGAAGCCCCAGAACAGTGTGCAAGGGAAGGAGAGGGGAGATCATTGTGTCAGGCAAGCAGAAATGCTTGTGCTGATGGAATGATTTCCTTAGTGAGATGTTGAATTCTACCCTTGGTGTAGAGATGACATTAGGGGGCTCTGGCTACCATTGGTTCTGGTTCTATCTCCAATTAGTTGCCCTGCCTTCCATTTCGCTGCTTCCAATAGGCCTCAGCCACCACTGCCAAGTACATTGCTCGGTACTTACAGGGCTACGTCGAGTACATGCTCTCCTCACACCCACATTATCCTTAAACAACCCTATGAGGTAGGGCAGGCTAAGAGACAGTCAGTGAGCTTCATGGCCAGATCCAGGCCCCCTAACAACACCCCCTTGCTACATACATTACTGTTTAACTCCATGTAAGGGGGAGAGTGCTTATTTTTCCAGGAATACCCAATGGAAATAAACTTTCTTGTCATATAACAGTAAGAAAAATAAAAGGCAGTCCTTAAAGACTCCCTAGAAAAATTCCTCTATAAAATATTGCATGAACTATGTCTAGGATGGAAGGTCTAACACCTTGACATATGCCCTCATTTCCATCTTTGGCTGGTTCCTTGGCTGACTTGCCATGGTGTTTCTTGACAGAAGAATGACAGGTTCCTGGATTTCAGTGCTTTTTGGCTGCTAACACTGCTCATCACTAGAGAAACTGGGATAAAATTAGTGTGGATACCGGAGAAAGTGAACAAAAAGCCATAGGTCAGTTATGCAATGATCCATCTATCTCCTGTTGTTTTAATACATGTAGAAGGATACACAGGGGCCGAATGGAAAAGGTCTCTCTTTCTCTCCCATTAACCTTACGGTAAAAGTCCATTTTTTCAAGGCTAAACTATACTGGATAGCAATTTGACAATGTCTTTTCAGTTGCGAATCTTACTATGTGTGTATAGTAATGTACTTGGGGCGTGTGTTTATCTACCTACCACCCAGGTCGGCGCATAAGTGGTAAAATAGGTCTGGGGATAGTGCTGCATTCAACTCCATGGCAGGAAGAAAATGCCCTTACCCCATTCCAGCAAGTATCCTCCATGGACATTCACAGAATGGATTTTTACTTTGTGGATTGTGAAGATGGAGTGCAAAGTGGATTAAAGTGTAGGATTAATGCTTGGCATCATGGTAGAAAGAAGCTGGCAGCTAGCAAATGATGTCCAAGAGGCAATTAGTTCATGTCACAAAACCAAGAGGAGTCAATGTAATGAGCAGTTTCTATGGAGTTGGCCGCTGTGCCTGGAATGCTGAGTTCAGTTCTGAACAGTTACATACTGTGAGAAATATTGGCCTTGTTTTCACTGAACTGATAAACCTGGGTGTGGGATGTGCCATTTCAGCCTGTTGCTGTGTGCAATTATGTTTAAATGCTGCTCCATACAAAATATTCCCTGCAGGTAGAAAGCTAGCATGTCAGCAAGGAGGCTTTGCTAGAATCCTTTTTTTGCTGACCTCTAGTTTTGAACAGATAGGGATGCGGGTGGCGCTCTGGGTAAAAGCCTCAGCACCTAGGGCTTGCCAATCGAAAGGTCGGCGGTTCGAATCCCCGCGGCGGGGTGCGCTCCCGCTGCTCAGTCCCAGCGCCTGCCAACCTAGCAGTTCGAAAGCACCTCCGGGTGCAAGTAGATAAATAGGGACCGCTTACTGGCGGGAAGGTAAACGGCGTTTTCGTGTGCTGTGCTGGCTCGCCAGATGCAGCTTTGTCACGCTGGCCACGTGACCCGGAAGTGTCTCCGGACAGCGCTGGCCCCCGGCCTCTTGAGTGAGATGGGCGCACAACCCCAGAGTCTGTCAAGACTGGCCCGTACGGGCAGGGGTACCTTTACCTTTACCTTTAGTTTTGAACAGAGGAACATCCAGCCAAGTGAGCTCCTGCCTGCAGTCTGAAGTAGTACAGCCCAGGCACAAATTCACGACTTCAGTGGGAACTAGACCATTGATTCAACTCCAATAGGGGCACCCCTAATGGTGGGAAAGGAGGACTTACGAATGCATATGAATGCAGCGGAACAGGAGGGCTGGGATGAAATTGAACCATGGATCAATTTGGGGGCAAGCTGCTCTGAATCTGCCTTAAAACAATGAATATTCATAGAAAATGGGGAAGGCTCCTTTATCAAAGCAATTTAAAGCTTGATTGAAGCAGCATTTAAAATGTACCATAACAAACAATCCTGTGCTAACAAAAGACAGGAGATTAGACAGGATTTAACATAGCTTTTCTGCCTTAAACTTTTATGTTCTCCTGGCTGCCAGAGAGGATTAAAGTAACACACACACACACACACACACACACACACACACACACACATACCACCCAGAATGTACAATGAAGACCTCTGGTTTTTCCTTGAAGGTTCTGACTCTGAACTGAAGAGAGGAGCATGGTTTGGAAATGCAGGCCTGAAACAGGAGATCCTGGATTAGGTTTGAGAGCCACTGAGAAGAATTTGGAGGTGGCATTTCTCTTTAGGCTGGAGTAGACCCGCTGTAGTTATGTAGTTAGAAGGATGGTGATGATGAGCATCAGCAGAACTGTGTTTGGGATTTATCCAAAGCCATAAGGGAAAGGTGCAATGGTTCGGTGCCCAGGGTAGTACAAGGGTAACTCTCAGGCTGTTCTCAGGAATGCAAATCGATTTCCTTGCAATGGGGTTTGTTCACTTTCTCTAGCCAGCATGGCTGTTTTCAATCCACACACAAGAGCTCCCCCCAAATAGGAAATGGAATCAAAGAAGCCCACACCAAAGAGCTGAGCCCCTGCGTGTGTGGCAGACTGTCGGTCTGGGCTGGGCGGCTGGAAGCATTGGTGTGATTGCCTGGTACCGCACTGAGCGTGGGAATTATTTCTGGCTCACTTCCAGCTCTGCTTAAGGAGAATTTTCCTGATAAATAGTTTTGGAGGCCAGGTACTTTGCAGTGCTTGCATTTAACCCCTCACACGTGCTCATTAATCACATCTGGTTCCTTTCAGAAGTAGGGCCTGATCGACCCACTTTTCCTTTCCCCCTCCCTCCCTCTTTTTTTTAAAATTAATTTTTTTCCCTTTTGTTCCCAGTTTTTTGAGGTATGTGTGCTTGGCTATGGTGGCATTTGTGGGAGCACACTAACTGCATGTCCCACCATGAAATGCTGTACCAGAGATCCGGCATGGCAGGTACAGGGGTCAGATTTGGAGGTGCAAAGCCCTGGTTCAAATCTCTTTAGGGTGTCCTTGCACAAGCCACCGCCAGTCATCCTCCTAACATGCACAGGGGATAGTTGTGAG